TTTTTTTATCTTAAATTCAAAAGATTTTACATTTTTTTATCGATTACAAAATGAGTTGACGATTAGTTTGATAATCGATTAATCACAATTCATCTGATTAATTGTTTTAGCCTTAAATTCATATTTTTTCAGGTTATCAGGTGATCTGAGTTATTTAAATGAGAAAAACCAACCAAACCAAAGGAGATAAACTCTTATTTCAGCACAGTAGGTGATGATATCCTGCAGATTAAGATCACTTTAAAACAATGTCTTCATAACAGCCTGTTTGTAGATTCAACCACCTTGTTAAAGTCTCTTCCAGCATCTGTGTTTCATCACAGAGCTTCACTTTGCTTTACAGCATGTTTATCCATGCTGCCTTTACTCCCTGAGCTCTCTGAAACCAACCTGCAAACTCCCCAGGCTTCAGAGTTTTTAGGAAATAACAAGGCGGTGAAGGAAAATTATTGAATAATTCAAGGTAGGAAAATATAAATCAGTGCATCAATTACTCTATTAGCAGAAACCGTGAACAAACTCAACCCCAGGAAGCAACACGTTTGAGTTGAACAGAAACATGTTGGAGCTTTAGACAGATGTGCAGAGGTTGGTCTGGGAAAGCTCTCAGTAAACGCTAAAGCCTTCAGGGGCTGAAACCATTCACTCACCACGACAGTTACCTGCTCATTAGGACCCTTTTTCTCTCCGTTCACAGCCTTTAGCAGCACGGCATCCTCAGTCTTTGGGTTGTTCTTCATCTCCACTACGATGTCGTCTTTGGTGTGCTTCTCTTTGGTGCTGCTCGGAAAAACAGCAAACATGAGAACAGAGGAGCTGATTATGCGGAACATTGGTATTTTTTAAACTTAATGTGTCTAAATATCACTTTCAGGTTTCACTGTTTTGTATTTTTTTTTTATTTGTTTGGTTTTGTTTCCGGGGATGCTCAGTGGAGCAGTGGGTAGCTGTTTCAGGCTTTCAGCAAGAAGGTTACAGGTTCAATCTTCTACATGCGTGGGTTCTCTCCGGGTACTCCGGCTTCCTCCCACAGTCCAAAAACATGACTGTTAGGTTAAATGGCTTCTCTAAATTCTCCTTAGGTGTGAGTGTGTGTGGGAATGGTTGTTTGTCCTGTTTGTCTCTGTGTTGCCCTGTGATGGACTGGCGGTGGACCGGGTGGATCCAGCCTCTCGCCTGTAGCACCAGCACCCCTCACCACCCCAAGTGGGATAAGCGTGGTGGAAAATGGATGGTTTTATTTCCAGAATTACAATAAACATCTAAGAATCTGAACAGCAAAAATGATGGTGTACTCATATGGTGATAGCGACAGATAACGGATTCGTCTTTATTCGAATCGTTGGACCTCAGTGCCTCATATTGATCAGTAGAATCTAGGGGTGCAAC